TTGAAGCAACTGCATAGACTGAAGTCTGCATATCTTTAAGAAACAGTACATAGTAAAGGATCTCATCCAAGACCTGTCATAGAAGTTACCCAGAAGATTTTGCATGTGCAGTGTGAGTAACTTTTCTATTTTTAATACCTTCAGGGAGAAGACTCTATTCCAGTTGAATATTTTTTTAAAAAATACAAGTTTCTTAAAAATGTTCACTCCAAAATATTAGGAGGAGCTGTTGTTTTATACTGAGGGCTTCTCTAATGGAGTCTCAAGGTGGCAGAGAGGACTCCAGAACCATGGCTAGCCTTCAGCAGGCAAGCTGGATACCCTGCTTTTAGTGTGAGTTACAGTTCAAGAATTCCYTGTGTGTGTCTATAGTACACACCACTGATTTAAGGACTCTCTGCYAAAAGAATCCATAGCGAGGGCTTGAGTCCTCACATTTAACAGCCCATAAAGCAGCAGAAACACCAGCCAGGTGTGTCCATTTCTCCACTTMACTCAGCAGAATTGCTGCTCAGCTAGATCGGAATAGTGGCATTTAATGTGACCTGGTATTTCTCCAGGCTTAATGAATTTCTAATTGCTCATTAGCCCCAGAAGATTTGCTAAAGCAAACACAAAGACAGCTGGAGATACTTGAACTCTCTAAAATGAATACAAGGCAATCTTTGTGAACAAAACACTTAGTTCTCCTCAAAGAAATCTGCTGGAAGAGAAGTAAGGTAACAAAAACTTGTTACCAACAACTTCTGATGAAGCAGAAGTTCTAATAAGCCATGAATAATATACCACAAAGTTCAGCTATTCGGAATAATACTGTCTTTCATGTTGAAAGCAGAACAGGTTTGCTTCCTCTGGAGTATCTTCACAGACAGACTCCATTGTAGTAGGATTTAGATCTTCCAAGACCACCCTACGCACCATTACATTTACACCGAATGAGACAGTACGCACAGTCCCTCAGTGGCCAGGGAGGTGATTCTGTAATGGTCACCCTACCAGCAATCCTATGTTCGCACACTTTTTCTCATCATAATTATCAGAAATGTAACACWAGCCTAAGTGGGCTGGAAGCCAGGCAAAGGAATAGGAATCTCAAGGCTCAGTGCTGAAGAAGGGATGATGATGCTGATTTAGAACAAGCAGGGTCAAATGACTGTTGAACAGAGAAGTTTGATCTGGCAACAATTCACTCAGCAGAGACAGAAATTCAGAGCTCTCAAAAAAGATGGTTTCTACCTGTGCTTAACGATAGGTATTTTTCCTCCTGACTCCCTTCTGTCAACAACTCAAAGATGCCCCTCTTCCCCACCACTGCCTTAGGTACCCAGAGTCACAGACCCAGAGTCACAGACCCAGAGAGGGAAGTGCTAGCTGATAATAATTGCTTCATTCTCAAGGGAATGTCCAGCAAAGCCAGACCTACCTATGAAAATGTGTTACCTAGTCTGCAATAAAAAACTCACAAGAACTGTTCCAATGGCATGCAGTGTGTTTCCTTAACTCCAGTTCCACAACACATGTGAATTCACATACAAAGCAAAAAGCATAAAGTTTTTGAGTTTTTAAAACCTGCAGTGAAGTCGTTGTGACATTTCGTCTTGGAAATTAAAAGAGAAGTTACTTTCCAGCATAAATATTTTATCTCTCACAAACAACTTTGTACTACAACTACACTTTAACAACTTCCAAATATACAAATACTTATTATGTAATATTACACRTATTTAGTTATCAATGCACCAAAAAAGGCTAAAGAACAAATAAATTTTAGCTTCAGCAGTGGATGAAAACTGAAATGAGAACAAATACAGCAGAAAAAACACAGACTTCTGTAGTTTCTAGAGAGTTGGGGCTGACAGCAACCATTCTGTAATTTTGGAACACAGACACATGGGATTTTCCATCACTGAATTCCACTCGTTATMCAGTGGAAACCAGTCACTAAAATCTATAACTAATTACATAAAGCAGCTCTATCAAGTTATACATCAAGGTTATAAAAATACTTCTTCAAAGCAGGGCTATAAATACAGAATTTATAAAACAAAGCAATCTGCATAAAATATGGTTGCATATTTCTGATATTCTATCAGAAGCAACCCTACCCACCTTAAAACAGATGGGCATTGAATAAATGTCTAAGGAGCAGCACTTCAAATGTTCAGCCACTATTCCTTGTGCTTGGTACAGAATACACACTGCAGGGATACAGGAAAACAGGTATTAAGGTATGAGAGATGACACAGACTTTGCTTCTTTTCATTTTCTGAAGTTAATTCATTTTCTGAAAATATTAATGATAATGTTGTTATATATTTCATTATTGCCTCCACTRCCAATACAACAGTATCAGTAATGGTAATTCAGCACAAGCAGAAGCTTCCAAAAAGCTTAAAAAGGCAAATATTCCTACTTCAATAAGTTAGAAACAGGCATTTGATGTTTCTGTGAATTAAACGTTCTGCAAAATCTAGACTTTAAACTGTTATGACTTGCAGCTGGCCCATGACTGGGAGGCAAAGTATGGAAGTGAAAGAGTAAATACTACTTCATGTRTGTGGGGTATCTCAGACAAATTGGGGCACCCTGGATGTGGCTCCACACAGGGCTCTTGTACCTCTAAGGCACAAAGGTACAACATCAGTGATTGGACTAATCACTAACACCCACACTGCCAATTCCTGATCATAGGAAAGCTTCTCTAGATCATTTCCTGCTTCTTTTATCCTTTCACCTCTGTGGGCTGGCTGATGAACTGGTTCATTTCACTATAGCTATAGCTATTCTATAGCTTTTTCATAGTTTGTTATTTATTCCTGGTAGGAGTTATAAACTCTCGCTGCTTCCATAACTGTACAGTGGTGTGGCAGACTCTGCATACTCCAAATAAAAGCAGGGAATTTCTATCTTTATGGCCTTTTATTAGGACAGCTGGCAAGTCACTGTTGTACAACCTATTGTGCTGCTTTGCAGTCAGCTTCAGGATGTGGTGAAGCCTCTGTTACCTTACACAAACATGGAATCGTTGGGTTGGAAAAGACCTCCAATATTATCGAGTCAAACTTTTCACCAGGCACCTCCATCCCACCTRAACCACAGCACTGAGTGCCACATCCAGTCATTTCTTGGACACCTCCAGTGATGATGACTTCCCAACTTCCCTGGGGGAGCCTGTTCAAATGCTAAACAACTCCTTCATGAAGAAACTCTTCTTGATGTCCAACCTCAACCTCCTGTGGTGCAGCTTGAGGCCATTCCTTCTTGTCCTGTCAGTGGTTACCTGGAAGAAGGGACCAAGCCCCACCTGGCTACAACCTTCTGTCAGGGAGTGATGGAGAGTGATGAGGTGTCTGCTGAGCCTYCTTTTCTSCAGGCTCCTCATCAGACTTGTGCTCCAGGCCCTTCACCAACTCTGTTGTCCTTCTCGGGACTCGCTGCAGCATCTCAAAGTCTTCCTTGGAGTGGGGGGCTCAGAACTGCACACAGGATTTAAGGTAAGACTTCACCAGTGCCAGGTTTAGAGGGACAATCTCTTCCCTGGTTGTGCTGCCACACTATCACACTATGATAACACCTCATCACCTGATAAAAGCCAGGATGCCCTTGGCCCTCTTGGCCACCTGGCTCTYGTCCAGCCACTGTCAGCCAGCACCCCCAGGTCCTTTTCTGCTGGGCCTCTAKCTTCATTAGTTACTGAATAACCTGGAGAACTTTACTGCCACTCAGGTAATAGAGCATGTGAGGGTTGGGGTTTTTTTGGTTTCACTCACCTTCATGAGTTGTCACTGGACAACCATGACATGGGAATAGACTGCAGAGTTCAACTCTGTGCTGTCCTTGTTAGCTCTATTTTTCCCGAGATAAATGCAAAAAGCTATTAATTTGAGATAGAAAAGCTGTCCTGTGTATGTATTAGGCGAGTAATAACCCTTAATCAAAAGGTTAAAGACCAAATTCCCCTAAGGAGGAAATGCACTGCATTCCTGGCTGCAGGACAGGTTCCCCCCAGCTGTCAGTCCTAGGTGGAATGGAAATGAACCTGTTGCAGAGAGCACAGAACAATTGAACTGCAGGATTCAGAGGTTTCTTTATTAAACACCATAACAGATGCTTATAAAATGTCAGTGGGGATGCATACAATGTGTACCCACTTTCTCACTTCACCTCCAGCTGAAGTATTTGGTATTTATGTGATTGGTATTTTGATTCCCATGTGCATCTGATAGAGATTCGGACTGAAACTTTGATCTTCTAAGGCTAGTAAGCATAACTTCATTTTTACTTATATTTTTTACACAGGTGAATGCCATAAAATGTAATTTAATATATTCCTACGAAGACACTCTATCAGCATTTAGTTTTCTCTTTTTGGTATATCTCGGTGGTAACAAACAAGTGGTATCTTGTGTGCAAGGTGCTCTTTGTATATATGGCTACAGAGAGTAGTAACCACTATGTGTACTCATTGACATTGAAGAAATGTTAATGTTAGATTTTCTGAAGAAGCAGTTCCTGCCCATATTTCTGGCACTAACTCCAGCACAGSCTATCATGTATGCTTTCTTCTTCAGTCACAATGGAATGCCACAAGAGTACATTTAATGGAATGTATGCAAATTACATCTGAGCAATATAAAATGAACACATTAACTTATTATTTGTTAATGAAAAAATAAGTTTCACTGCATCTTCATTGCTTTTTCTTCAGTAGTATTGATATGGTCTCTTGCAGTAATTTAAAATGGTATGAAAATTAATTTATGTGTCATCCAAAACAAAATAAGGTACCAGTTGGTATTCACTCAACAGAGAAAGGCTTCTTTATGGAAGAAAAGTCCTTTGAAAGCAACCTAGTACAAAACYGAGGCACCTGATTCAGGATGTCACTGGACCTTCAAAGTTATCRCTCCACAGCTGTTCTGTTCCGACTAAGAAAACATCTGCTGCTTTGTCATTGTCAGAGAAAGCTCCTAGGGTGCTCCAATATGGATTTTTCTCTTCTAACACATGTGTTTCTTCTCTTGCAGTGTTTTCCAATAGAGTATGTGCTCATGTGGCTGCATTTGATGAGATGTAATTATTTTATTGTACACACAAGGAAAAAATGGGACCTTGTGTATGTTAAACAATGAATCATGAGGTGGAGGTACTATTTCTAYTCCCTTTGCATTCAGACAAAGCCCTACATAAACATCTTCCAAATGCARGTATTTAATCGTTAAAGAAGCACTGACAATTTTTGCAGCCAGGTCTCCAGAAAAGACGTAGCCAGTTCCTGAACAAAAAGGGTGGTATCCCTCACCCGGGAATTCTTCCTCTGATACCTACCATCTACTGTCTTTATCCCGAATAGGACTGTTCCCTTTCATTAAATAGCCTGTGAAATAATTCCGTGTGGGAAACGGGAGAGGCCTGAGGAGCTTTTCAATCAGGTGCATTGTATTGACAAAGACATCTGTGTCTGTCTTCATGGCAAACCTTGTGCCGCTGCAGTACGAGGCCACCCACCTCATGCCCATCAGGGTTTTGAGAGTTAGGTTGTTGTAGGTGTCCAGGAAGTCCTGCTGGATRATATCGTGGTAGCGCTCACTTTCTCTCAGCAGCAGATCCTCGTTGGCACCCTTGGTCTCGACGCCGAGCATGAACAGGCGAACGATGTCAGCGCCTGGAACCGCAGCTTCATTCCCCCAGCTCTTCCGGATGGAATTTCTGTGCTGAATTTCAGCTGCTCTTGTTGCTATCAGCAATACCAAGAAAGGTGTTTTGTCTTTACACTTCTCTTCTTCATTAATAATGAATGTAAATGACTGTGTTGAAGTGGATGTGGTTTTATTCTGAAATTTCTCATTTTCRGGRGGTAGTTCTCCATTTTGTTTCCCTRAGATTTGGTTGAAATTTGTAAAATTTTTTTTAGGTAAACTCTTTTCACTTTCCATGTGAAGATAATCACTTTTTTCGGTAAAAAGGACGTMTTTTTTTCCTCTGTCATCATTGCTCTGAACTTTACTTTTAGCTGGTAAAGCACAGCGATTGTAAGTATAAAAGAAGAAAATCAAATGTATTGCTGTAAAAGAGATAGCAAAAGCCAGAAGAAGATTTCTCTTGGTGCATTTCATGGGACAGAAGAATCCACTACAGTAGTTCATGTTGGCAGCAGTGAGAGAATGCACAAAAAGCACAGCTATTTTGTCAAAAGAGCAGCTAATTTGTAATTGTTTTCCTCTGTGAAAAAGAAAGATTAAAGCCACCTTCAGGCTTCTGATTCTTCAGGATTCCTTTTATTTTCTTATTATTAAAAGTGTCCTATTATCTCATTTTAGAATAAATTGTAAAAATGTTTGTTAAAGTAAAAAGTTAAAAAACTTCATTATTAATTTTTCAGGCTTTTCTTCTATGAGAAATATAGTATGATAAAACCAGTAAGAAATAAATGAAACTAAGTAAATACATTATTAAAAGTAATAATTTCATCAGATAGAACAGAAATTACTCAGATCTGTATTTAAATATTGGAATATATGAAAAATATAAAGACAGCTTAACTTCCTGTAGGCTTTACAAAAAGTTATCACATAATTGAATCATCCAAAGTTAATGAAATATTATGATTGAGTRTGGATTCACAGAATTGGAGGCCATCATGATAAATCAAAAATTTGACAGATCCCTGAAAGTGATTGTCTAGGCACTATAAAACATAAATGCAGACAGGCTTTGAGATTAAGTGCCCCCTGCCAGCAACTACTTCTGTAAAGAATGCTAAAAACAACTGTCTTAATCCAGATCCATACATCTGAAATGGCTTCAGCTGAAGAATCCCATCCTCCCAGACTGCAAGAATAAGTAAAGTATAAATGCTGGAACTGTGCAAATACTGTAGCTTTGGGTAGTTCYTTGTGATTTCATAATAATTTCAAATTCTGGCTTCCTTCAGTGAAACAATACAGAAAGAACACGATCAGTAGGACATCATAAGTCAAAAGGCATTTTTGTACCCATTAATTGCCTTACTATTATTTGAAATTTAAGAACTTCAGCAAATGAAAATGAAAGAGCAAAAGGTGTTTTTCAATGTTCTGAGTGCATTGCAWTTTTTTCTTGATTAAGCTAAAAATATTTTGTCAAAGTCTTTGACTTCTGTTTGTTTTGACAAACAAAAGTTCCATTAGATGAAATCCTTGTTCCATGGTGGAAAGTACAGAAACTTCTAAGAAGACTTTTCTGAGAGGCAGCTAGAATGTTTATTGTTTCAAGTTTGATTGAGCTATTATGAGATTAGTAGAAAATCATGCTGCAAAAGAGCAAACTGTACCTGTGTCTTCAAAAATAATTATAGTTTATCTTGCTTGTGACTTTTAAATGCCAAGAAGCTCTCAAAACAYAATACTCCTTTTCTATTAAATTTTTTCACAGAAAAAAAAGAGAAAAATACCTTCAAAACAAATGCTTAGCCACAATAATTACCCATGCCATTAAATCAGAACAATTGTAATCATGAAATTATTTTTCCAAACTGTGTAGCAAAATGCAGTGTATWTTAGGTTGCCTTGGGATACCCTAATTATTCAGATGCACGCACATTTAACTACATTCAGATTTTAAAATTACTTGATATGTGTGAGCCCCCTCCCCCATAATTAGGCCTTATTAAAATAATAAAAAGGAAGAAAATTACTGGAAAGGAGGAGAGAAAAGCAGGAAAGGAATTTTAAAAAAGGAAAATTAATCTGGTACTGTTTCTTTACACTCCTGTTTATGTTATCTTTTTCTTATTTATTAAAAAAGGGCAGATTTGAGAGCTCATGAGTAAAAATCTACCTCACCAGATTCTAATTCAACTCAATCTCACCACAGACTTTTGGAAGGATTTAAAAATAAGAAAAAACAACCCCTCACGTTCTAGCAATGCTTTGATATTTTCCCAACTTCTTGAAGTGATGAGTTTTGAAGAGAGGCCATTCAAGGTGCTCCCACAAATAGCAAGTTTGAAAGAAATCTTTTGAGGAAATGCTCGGTGTGTTTGAAGGTGCTACAGAGGGCTGCCAGAAAGCACAAGGCGGAGCTGATTTAATCTCAAGCTTGGCACAGCATCTCGACTTCTTAAGTCTCAGCTTAGTTAAGCCRGATTGACTACATGTCCCTAAAAGGATGAGCTGGGAAGCGAGGCAAGAGCAGGAGATGCACCCACCTGAGCTCACAGCAGCGTATCCTGGACATGGCTCTGTCAGGGCACTGCCAGGGGCACAGGCTGGGCAAAGTCCCAGCCCCACCTCCTGCTCTGAACGAGCTCCCAGGGATGGCCCTGCAGTCAGTGAGGTGAGCCAAAAACGCTTCAACCCCACTTTCTTGAAACCTGTATTGAATTTCAAACCCCTGTRCCACAGTATTTACAGGATTAACCCAGGCTCTCAGTGACACTTGCTCTTGGTGGTTATAAAGAGAAGCAGAGAGTGCAGTTTCTGTCTTTGCTAGTTCATTATTGGGTTGCAGGTGAAAAACCCTGTCTTAAAACCACCCAAGGAGCAGAAAGCTGCTTGTGCTCTCTTTCACCTGCACCGTGTGGCTTCCCAGAGAGCCCAGGCAACCCTTCTGTGCTTTACACATGCAAACTCATCCAAACATGAACTGCTGAGCTGGGAYGTGAATTGGGTGGCAAGAAGCAAGTGAGGAAAGAAAAACCAAATTCTCTTATTGCTGGAAATATCTACATTCAGTTTTTCAAAGTTCTAAATACGGTTTTCTTTTGAGTACAAGATGTGGTATGTGATCCTTACAATCACTCTGTTACAAAGATTACAGTAATTTGAACAGCAAATGGTTTAATTAACTGTGAAGAGAATCGAGCACTTTACATACAGCACTGCAGAAGTGTATTAATAACAACTGCACATATTTAAGGAGCATATGGAATTAATTTAAGAAATGTATAAAGGATTTATCTGCTAGCGTACTATAAAATCTTTGTATATGTACTGTTCTTATTTAAATAATGCCTAGACTGTGTTAATCTTATCAAAATGCTACTTCAATACAGGAAATTTTTTTTTCCCCAATGGAACATTTATAATTAAAAAAAAACCCAAAGAAACAAAAACCAAAAAACCCAAAAAAAACAGAAATATGTGAAAAATTGAAAAATAATTTTAGGTTCTTTTCTTTACATAAGTGTACTTTTAATTTAAAACTAGTCTTCAAAGAGAATTGAGCAACAGTTATCTTAGAATTTGCTTATCTCTGGTTAGCTGCTATATAATCTTTTCTTACACCGCACTCAAAGATATGACTGATAAATACTTAATCACAAATAAACAGCACAATTCYCTGTCTGTTTTTATACAAGTGAAATGCAATAAATTTGTCATGGGACAAAAAGGGAGCACACTGCCTACAAGGAGCCAAAAAWTTCTTGTTAGTCTAAGAAAAGCRTCCTATTASAAATAGCTACTACTTTAATTGAATWATWACCAGCAAAAGGGGGAGTGAAGAAGGTGGGRCAAAATGGTTCTGCACACAGTTCCTGGTTCTCTCATGTCCCTCTCTCGTCTCATGTCACACTCACTTTGTCTAATGCTCCTTTGGTGGAGTCCTATGAGTCAGTGGCACCAGATGTTCTCAAGGAGATGGACAAGGAGAGCAGTTTATGACACATTGCCAGCACCCCACATTCTGCACCAGGAGGAACATCCCGATGTCGATGGCAGTGTCTTTGCTACCCAAGAACCCAGCAGTGCTAATTTCCACATGTTTTGCAATACAACACTTTGCTCTGTCTCCCCTGGTTCTCAGTTACAGGTGAAACCTGATTTCATTACATTTGCTCATCGTCTTTGGGTATCTCCTCCTTGTGTTCTTTGTTATGATTAAACCCAGCTTTWTCCAGCTGCCAACAGTGCATTCTCATAGCAATAAGTAATGAGCTACTGGTCACACTTTTCCTTGGTTATCATCCCAGGTCTACATTCCCCTATATTACCTCATACTTCCATTTCAGGGCCAAAAGCAGGCACTTRACACAGAATAGCTACTTGCTGCAGAAATAGAGACAAGTAGGTGYTGGGCCACACAGTTGTGGAAAGCCAAAGTATCTGAGTAACAGCACCTAATTCACTACATAATTTGCTGTCCCAGYTTTAAAAAGCCAGAACAAAGCTCCAGCCCCTGTGACCTGAAGAAGGAAATTATCTACATGATTATCTACGTGAATTGTCRGCAAGGGTGTGCTTGGGGCATAGTACAGAGAATAATCTAACAATGCTACGACAATTTACTGTCGCATATCTTCATTTTTGTTTGTGAATGGTTTTGGCTTGTATCTACAGGGTTCACATGGGAATTTATGGAAGGTGCCAGGCTATCAGTCTCCCTTAGAAAATGCCATTCTAGTGGCACTAGAGCGACACTTTCTTACCTGACAAGATGGTGAGCCTTGTGGAACAGTACTTCTGAGGGAACCTCCACAGTTTTAGGTTCTTTGGCAGATGCCAGAAGAATAGGTATTGATCTAGATAAACTAAGTGTGAGGCTGGCAATGAGTTTGTTGAACTGTTGGTTTACAGATGTCCATAGAGAGCTAGAGACCTTAGCATGGCTTTTAGAGGACAAGTCACCCCAAAACAGCACCAGTTTTACCCACATCATTTCTGACTTGTCTGCTTGTACCTTTGTAATCTGTATTTAAATAATTCAAACCCTGTAACCTTCCAAAGCATCCATTTAGCACCTCGTTACTCTATTTTCTTAATCTACACTGATACTCCAGGCCACATGAATTCATTACCTCTTGATGCATTGAAAGAAAATGCTCTTTTTCTCTGTGATAAGTTTGACCTTGTCCCTTCAGACTTCACTTCACATGTTTGCTGCACTTCCAACCACTCTCATTCCTCCTCCTCAGTTCTCYCCAGTCCTGAAAGGACAAAGGGGACTCATTACCTCAGGTGAAGCATTTCCCGAGGGAGGAGAACAGAATGATTACTTTATGAGTCCTCCAGGCTTTCTCCCTGTTTGTACACTTTGAGAGAATTTTTCCTTTTTCTTTTTTTCTTATTGCTACTATTAGATTGTTGATCCACATGGTGTGCTGTGGATGACCCCCTTATTTCTGACAACACAGTAAGTATCTTAGTGAGCTCTCAGTGTTTCACTT